GAAGGCGATCCTAGGGAAGGAACATTTCTTCTCTTGTGCCCTGGTCTTCAGCAACATTTCTCAGGGTCAGCAGAGATTTATGCTGCTCTGTTTCCAGTTGAAAGGCAAGATATCACCCTGGTCTCTGCTCTGCTTTTTGTTTTAAGACAACCTTGAGGGAAATCTCTGGAGATTTGTTCAGAAGGCGAAATGAACAAATTACAGAGGGAAGACAATCAGCTCAGTCACATCCTGAATTCACTCACGGGGGAGGGCAGGGGAGATGCAGCCAGAGAAAAATGTCCCAAATGGACCAGATAGCTTCCTTCATATCTGATGTTTTCTGAGACAGTAAATTTAGCAGTTGTAAATACAGTTACTCCTCCTCCTCCTCCTCCTCCTCCTCCTCCCCCCTCCTCCTCCTCCCCCTCCTCCCCCCCTTCTTCAAGTCAACCTTGAGTGAGCCTTGGTAGTACAGGGGTTTAAGGCACCCTGTTATTAAGCTGGTTATTAAAACCAGCTGCCTGCAATTACTGCAGGGTTCGAATCTCGCCAAGGCTCAAGGTTGACTCAGCCTTCCATCCTTTCTAAGGTAGGTAAATTGAGGACCCAGTTGTGGGGGCAATAAGCTGACTTTGTATAAATATACAAAAAAAGGATGAAGGCTATTGCTGAGCACATTGTAAGCCGCCCTGAGTCTTCGGAGAAGGGCGGCATATAAATCAAATTAAAAAAAATAAATAAATAAAAAACTGGTCAGGATCGAACTCCTGGCAATGAGCAGAGTCAGCCTGCAAAGCTGCATTCTAACCACTGCACCACCATGACTCAGTGAAGCGAATGCTGCAGTCGTTAAATGAATCCATTTTACTTAATGGGCATATTTTACTGAAAACCAAAAGCATAAGCCAGAAAGTGGCAACCAAATACATTTAAAAAATCCTGGTCACATGACTGCAGAATGCTGCAAATGGCTGTAAAGGAGAGTCGGTTGCCAATCAACCAAAATGCAATCATGTTACCATAGGGTGTGTGTGCGGCCATTGTAACTTTGAAATCAGGTCCTAAGTAGCTTTGGTGGAAGGTTGGGTCTGCTGTAACTTCAGATGGTTAGAACCGGTTGTAAGTTGAGGACTACCTGTACAGTGTAAATGCTCCAGACCCCCTCAATGAATCAGTGTCCTCTGATGAGCCCAGAAAACATGGCTTATTTACTATGGTGCTTTGCTATGGAATACTCTCTCTCAGAGATGCAGATTCTACTGGCATTTCAGAAGGCTGAGAAAGCATGGTTGTTGTGGCCCATACACGGCCTGTGTGGCTGGTGGCTGATTCGGACAGCGAGGAGGCTGGTGTGGTGTTGCGCCAGCAGCCTGTGCAGCTGGCACTCGAGTTGGACAATGAGGAGGCTGGAGAAGATGTGGTGCCAGAGGCAGGGATTCAGCCAGGGCCTTCAGAACCTCCAGAAGGTCCCTTAAGTGAAGAGGATGAAGAGGAGGAGCCTCTTCTCGATGCACGGGCGCGCAGAGCTGCCAAAAGGCAGGAGTGGCTCCTCAGGAGGAGGTCTCCTCGAGAGTAAGGCTTGTACAGACTTTGTGTGTGCTGCGTTCTTTGGGGTCCATAGCTGGGGCAGAACAATGGTTCATTCCCCCAGCATTGGTCAGGGGTCAGGATGTTACTTACTGCATCTCAGGTATGTGAAGTTCTGGTGTGTAATTTTAAGAGTGGGCTTGAGTTGGTGTTTTTTATTGTGTTCACAGCTCAGAGTTTCATTGGATAAAAGGGCAGTCAGATAACATTAATGAACCAAGGGAACTGGAACAAGGTTGAGATCCATTCAAAGAATTTTTGAAAGCATGTGTGTGTCTTTCGAAAACATTGGAGAACGAACCCATCAGGACAAGGTTCAGCAGTCCATCTGCATTTAAAAGACAAAGGCCACTCTTTTGAAGACAGCCAAACCCACATTTTGGACAGAGAGGCCTGTGGAAGGGGCCATATATGTCAAAACTGAACAGTCCTTTCTCAACAAAGGGGGAGGGATATGACATGATCTATCTCCAGTCTACAACACAGTCCTTTCAGCAGTTGCAAGAAGGCTCCACACCCATTTGCACTACTCAGGTGACCCTGACGACACAGATAAACCTCCAGGTGGCCTCAATGACTCTCTAAAACAGGGGTGTCAAACTCAATTTCATTGAGGGCCGCATTAGCATTGTGGCTGCCCTCGGGAGGGCAGGTGGGCATGGCCGGGTGGTTGTGGCCCAATGGGTTGGTTGGGCAGGTTGGGCGTGGCCAGCTTGACGTTGCTCATGCCAGGGGTGGGTCCTGTGGGGGATTGGGCAGGGCTGGGGGGAATAGAGGGGTCTCTGGCAGAAGGGGGCAAGATCAGGGTGGGTGCTGGGGCCTGATTCACTGGAGGAGCAATGACAGACAGAGGGTTTGCCATGAAGCAGCCCAGCTGGTCACCATCATCACCAGATTGTGACCCCTGCATGCTGTACTGCACCATCAAGCCTGCTGCCCACCCCCCTGCCTGCCCACTTGTGAAGCCCCTGGAAAACAGGAAATGCAGGGTGACCCCATTCCCAGGAGGCATCTGGGAGTCCACAGCCCATGCAGTGTAGGTGGGTCCGAGCGCAATGGCCCTGGCAATTGGAAGGATGGGGAGCAAGCTCACTGGAGGATGAAGTTTGAGGGAGGGGGCCGAGCGCACAGGGGCTTCAGTATGACATTGACCAGCTGGGCTGCCTCATCACAACCCCACAATCTGTCTTTGCCTGTGGCTTCTGCAGCTGGGAAGGAGCAGGCAGCTGCATATCTGGCAGGCCATGTGGCTGTCTGGGCATCTGGCATGCCTGATTGGGTGCCTCCGCATGCTACTTGGAGCATCAGCCCGGTGGTCGCGGGGCTTGGACCCACCTGTGCTGCGCGAGCTGAGGACTCCCAGCTGCCTCTTGGGGGGCTCCCTGCCTTTCGCATTTGCTGGGGCCTCCGCGAGTGGGGCGGCAGGTGGAAGACTCATCCCGTATGTGCAGAGGAATTAGAAGATGAAGTTGGATGGCTCCACCCTCACCCCCCCCCACCTACTTCCTCTTGCCTCGTTGCAGCAGCACTGGCAGCAAGCGAAGGTAGATGTATGGTGGGGAGGCATGCAATGTGGGCCATCAAACACACCAGGCAGCTGCCCGGCCACCTGCCCCATCCCAGCTGTGGTGGCTATGGGAAAGCAAAAACAGGAAGTGGCATGGAGCATGTAGGCGGGAGGGTGGCCGCTCAGCTGTTCCAATGGGCCGGATCACGAGTCTCCTCCCCCCGTGCCTCTACCTGCTGCTTAAGGTCAGCCTGGCAGTCACAATGCCCCAGACCCAGCTGCACTGCACGTGCTGCAGAGCCCTTTGGCTGTCAGGCTGCTGTCGGACATGTGAGCGAGCTGTGAACCTGGGCCATGAACGGTGTTGTTTCCTGCACCTGGCCTTAGATCCAACCCACGAGGTTGACACCCTTGCTCTAAAAGAATGCAAATGACCATCTGTCTGCCAGGAATATAAATCCTTCCAGTCAGAGCTGAAGAAGCTTCTTGGATGAGAAGCAAAACATCTTTAAAGAAAAACAAGAAAGTCCAGTTGCCTCAGAAAAGCATTTTTGGGATTTCTAAAACATGGTTAAAATAGTGAGAAACCCCCCCCCCCAGGTGTTAAATTTTCACAATTAATATAACTGCATCTTTGTATTAGCTTTGTTTTTAATACAAGGATGTAGCACTTGGGGGTGAAGATGAAGATGAGGCCCAGCAACTCAACATGGGCGGGCAAGATAGGAAATATCTGTATGGTTACAAAACTGAATTTCACTAAAACAAACAAACAAACAAACAAACAAACAGAATTATGAATTACTTTGTACCTTAAAAGAAGCATGGAAAAAAAATATATATATAATATTTCAGGAAGACCACACAGTTATTAGGATGGTCTGCTACAAATGATTGTCTTCCAAGATGGGAGATGTCACAGTTTAATACAACTGCAGACTATTGTAGACAAGAAGAGACACTGGGAATGGGGGGAGCTTTGTAACAGGTTAACAAATTTGTTTGCAGATTGGAGAGGCATAGCAATTCCACTTAGACTTATATGCCGCTTCACAATGCTTTCCAGCCCTCGTGAAGTGGTTTACAGAGTCAGCCTATTGCCCTCAACAACCTGGGTCCTCATTTTACTGACCTCGGAAGGATGGAAGGCTGAGTCAACCTTGAGCCTGGTGTGTTTGGACTCTGAAGCGCAAGCACATAGCTCATCTTGAGAAGGGAGAGGACACAAATAGGGCAGAAATTTCAGAGTTCCCTCCTACAGCTTTTTCTCCAAGAGAATCAGAGCTGGCTCTGAGAGAAGACAATCTTTCTTTTCTTCACTTTCATACAATACAGGAATGATAGACTCACCGCAATTTGCTAAGATTTGCTGAAAACAACAATGAAAAAGAAAAAAAATTCCAAAAGACCAATAAAAGGTTTAATCCCAGAAAAATAATAGGAAAGAGACTAAACAGACTGTCAAATCCAAAGATTTGGATCCTTCATATTTTGGCAAAATGTGACACAAAGCCTTTAATGCGGCATCTATGGAGATTCTCAACCATCCAGGTCAAGGTTGTCTCAAAGGTGCTTTTTTCCAAAAGGCAACTGGAACTTTCTTGGGGAAAAGAAGAAGTTTCCCCTTTTGGAAAAAGCATCTTTGGGACCTGCAATGCCGCACCATAGAAATGTAACACCGAGCCCCGATCCACTGACTGTTATAGAAATGCAGGTCAACATATATAGATTGATCAGAATAATAATTTTAAATTCTGGTTCTAAAAAATTAGTAAAACTATGTGGCTCTAAAGAATAGGAAATGCATAAGTAACCATACATAAAAAATAAGGAAGTGTGAGAGTTGGAATACTAGTAATAGATTTGAATGCATGTTTTTACAGCCCAGAATAAAAATAAATATTTTTCATTACAAGACTTTTTAGAACATAGAATTCATGAAAAATTGTGACTTAGGTTTTCACAATTAGCTGCTCCTTTGCATTCAGATCTGGTCTTATCAAAATAATGTAGCATTTGGGCATGAAGATGCAGCCCAGCAGGCCAGCACTGGAGGCCAAGATGGAGAAGATCTGCACAGCCACCATGTACTTCCCTTTGGTGCTCAGGTAGGCTGGCACAAAGGAGACCCAGACACTGCAGAAGACCAGCATGCTGAAGGTGATCAGCTTGGCTTCGTTGAAGGCCCCAGGCAGATTTCTGGCCAGGAACGCCACTATAAAACAAATGGCTGCCAGGAATCCCATGTAACCAAGAGCAACATAAAACATGGTAAGAGACCCTTCATTACACTGAAGCACAATCTTTCCTGGTTGAGACTGCATGTCAGAATCAGGAAATGGGGGAGAGACCACCAGCCAGATGCTGCAGATGACCACCTGGACACCAGAAGAAGAAAGGACGATGGAGTTGGTCAAACTCTTTCCAAGCCATTTTCTCACTCTGTTTCCTGGCTTTGTGGCCAGAAAAGCCAGCACAACTGTGATTGTTTTGGCCAAGACAGAAGAGACGGCCACTGAGAAGATGATGCTGAAGGTAGCTTGTCGGAGAAGGCAGGTGGCTCTCTTTGGTCGTCCAATGAAGAGAAATGCGGAGAGGAAGGAAAGCAGGAGAGCGGCAAGGAGAATGTAAGAGAGGTCCCGGTTGTTGGCTTTGACAATGGGAGTTTCTCTACATTTAATAAAGATTGCTAAGACTAGGGTAGTAATTAAGGTCAAAGAGGATGCAAGAGAAGTTAAGATAGTCCCCAGATTGTCACTGAAGGCCAGATAAGTTATTTCCTTAGGGAGACATTTATCTCGCTCCTTATTTGGATGTTGATCTTCTGGACATTTGGTGCAATAATCTGCATCTGAAGAGAAGAAAAATAGTACTTATCATCTCCTATTATGTCTAGATTTTCTTTCCCACCACCAGAGATGGTTCACGGTTAAAAGAAAACAGAAAAACCAAAAGTAGAATTGTAAGGACTGTGTTCAACTGTATTAAATCCCAGGGCATCTTTCTGTTTTTCAGTGTGGGAGCTCAGATTAATGAGTTGCTAGTTCATCGTCAAGCATCTTTCTTCTTCAGGTTAATCTTATTAACATGTATGTTTTGTTTAATAACCAGGCATCACCACCAGATGGTTTCACACCTGGCTGACCAACCACATTTAACATGTAGTCCTTGAAGGATCTGCATCTCTGTGGAGGGAAGTATGCAGTGGGGTACACCAAGGCTCTGTCTTAGCCCAATACTCTTCAATGTCTTCATCAATGTTTTAGATGAGGGGATAGAAGGGGAACTCATAAAATCTGCAGATGACACCAATAGCCAACACTTTAGAACAGGGGTCCTCAAACTTTTTAAACCGGGGGGGGGGGGCAATTCACGGTCCCTCAGACTGTTGGGGGGCTGGATCAGCTTGGTGGGCATGGCTAGGTGGTCATGTGACTAGGTGGGCATGGCCAATTTAACAGTCCATTGAACAATGCACAAAAATTAAACTTAAATTTGTTTTGTTACTGGGGGTGTTTTATTTGCTTTTGTTTGCATTTTGCTCTTTTGGTTGCCTTTTCTTTTTACTAGATCATTTTTTCAGTTGTTTAGGAGTCTAAGGGTCCACTTCGGAAAACTCAGTTTTGTAGCAATTCTTTTCAGCAGGGCCGGATTTAGATGAAAAGAGGCCCTAGGCTATTCCACTTATGAGGCCCTTTCACCTATAGTGAAAGTGTAATTTTAATTTTGCTAACAATTTGAATGTAGGAAATGTAGGCCCAGTGGTGGGATTCAATTTTTTTAACAACAGGTTCTGTGGGCGTGGCTTAGTTGGGGGTGTGGCTTGGCAATCATGTGACTGGGTGGGCGTGGCTATCTGGTCACGTGACTGTGTAGGTGTGGGTAGCTCGTCGTGTGACCGGGTGGGCGTGGCTATGTGCATAGACTTTTTTCAGAGGGCTGAAAAAAGTCATTTCTGACTGGGCCTCACACTTTTGACCGGTCCTCACACTTATGACCATCCTCACATTTATGCCCGTGCAGCTTTCTTAACAACCATGTCACTCATTTCACAACGGCTTCTCTTCACCATGGTGACAAGATAGGGCAAAAACGTAAAATGTGAAGACAGTCGTAAGTTCGAGGACTGGTCAAAAGTGCGAGGACCAATCAGAAATAACTTTTTCAGCCCTCTGAGTAGTCCATATGCATAAAAGGATACAGCAATAGAGAGGGATGAAGGAAGGGAAGGGAAATTAGAGTAGGAGTGAGGGTAAGAGAGGGAGGAAGAGAGGAGGAGAAGGAGAAAGGAAGAGGAAGTAGGGTGGAGAAGAAGAGGGGGAGAAAGAGAAAGTAAGAAAGAAAGAAAAGAGAGAGGTGGTAGGTTTGAGGAGAAAGATTGCTGTACAATAAAAAAGATGAAAGGGAAGAAAGCCAACCCCAAACTAATATAAAGATAAAGAATGAATTGTTAAACTTTAAAGAATAAAAGAGAACAAATATGAATAAATAACAATAATTAGAAACACACATACAAACATACAATGTATTTTCTTTGAACAGAGTATTTGGCCGGTTCACAAATTTAAACAGTGTTTAGTCATTTCAATTAAATTTACAATTTCGATATTTCCTTTTTGCCATATTTATTCCTCATCTATTTTTTTAAAAAACCAATATTACCCTTCATCCTCATCTCTAATCTTAATCAAATTCAATTTTTCCCTTCTATTCTCTATTATACCCCTTCCCATTGTCATCTATTTTTATATTCATCCTCACATTGGTTAATTATGTAATATTACAGTTGTTTAATAGAAATTCAACATTTTAATATAAATCAATTAGTTATATAACTATCTTTTTTGTATATTAATCAATATGAACATGAATATTCCAATTATTTCCATGTAATCCAATTTCTTACAAATCAATTAATTATATTTACCAATAATAATAAACCAAATAATTTCCCCCATATATTCCTCCAAACCACAACTTAACCATTTCTGCTTTCAGAAATATACAATTAATAGTATCTCAATTATTACAATTCCCTAGTTAAATAGAGCTTTTTTTCTTTTGTGTTTTAAAATCCTGAACTCTCCTCTTTTTCCCTAAATTTCCCATTGTTTGCACCTACCTTTTTTGGTGAGGAAAAAGAGAAGAATTCAGCCTGCCTAATTTTCCAACCTTGCAGCAACAGCAAAGCAGTTTCAGTTTCGTTTCTCAGCATAGCTAGGGGAAAAAAAATCAGCACTCTTTGCAAGGAAGCAGAAGAGCCCTGAGCAAAACAGCTGAGACAAATCAGCTGAGAGCCGGGAGGCCAATTAGCCTATGCTGAAGCTCCCTGGGCCAATAAAATTACAAAAAAACCATCGAACCCTTTATTAAATTGCTGGCTCCCCCGCCCCTCGCCCACCACTATTTATTGGCAATAAATAGTGGTGCGGAGGGGCGGGACAAGCCAGCAATTTAACAAAGGGTTCGGCTGCACCACTGGCTCTAGGGCGGCCCTTTGAAGCCCCGCGGCAAGAATTTGAAGTTTTTTTTTCCTCTAGCCATCGGAGGCAGCAATAGATTGGGAGTGGGCGGGGTAAGCGAACGGCCGGCGATCCAACAGAGCAGAGAGTGAGGGTGAGTGAAGGCGTGGAAGCTGCTTTCTCCATCCTGCTCTCTTGCGTCCAGAGCCGGTGGGAACCACGCCAAGCTGTCTCAGGAATTCTGGAAGTTGAAGTCCACAGGTTGTAAAAGAGCCACAATTGCCTACCCCTGGCTACGGTAGGCTGGCGCCGTGTGGGTGGGAGGCGAGGGGCAGGCGAGCCAGCAATTTAACAAAGGGTTCGGCCGAACCCCCTAGAACCCCCAGAATCCCACCACTGTGTAGGCCCCTCTTGATCTTGAGGCCCTAGGCTGAAGCCTAGTTAGCCTATAGGAAAATCCGGCCCTGCTTTTCAGCCCCAAGGAGCTTGAGAAATTTCTCTCTCTCCCTCTCTTTCTCTCTCTCTCTCCCCCTCTCTTTCTGTCTCTCTCTTCCACCCCTCTCTCTCTCTGTCTCTGTGTCTCTATCTTCTGGAGGCAGGGGAGGTGAAAAACGGGCTGGTTTTGGCCGTTTTTTTGCCTCCTTTAACCACCCCCCACCTCCAGAAGTATTCTGCAGGCCAAAACCAGACAAAAATGGTTTTTTTCTTAGCAAAAAATGGGCCGTTTTCACCTGTTTTTTTTGCCCCCTTTCCCCCCCCCCCCCAACTCCAGAAGTATTCTGCAGGTCAAAACCAGGTCAAAATGGCTCGTTTTTTGACCAAAACTGGGCCATTTTTCGCCCATTTTTCTGCCTCTCCCCCCACCTCCAGAAGTATTCTGCAGGCCAAAACGGTTCAGTTTTTTAGCCAAAAATACACCGTGTTTTTGGCCAAAAACCACATTTTTTTCACCCCCCTGGGTCCTCCCCTGCCCACCCCTGCCCTTCGGCCTTACCTTTGCAACAGCAACGTATAGTGAGCATTGAACCATTGAAATGAGCAGAAGTAGGAAGTGCGGCTAGACAGTAGAAGATGGCGATGGCTGGAGGAGGCCTCCCCAGGGCCCCCATCAGCCAGGAAAAGCCAGCTATGCAGGAAATCGCTGGGAAGAGAGGGGTGACGGGTGGGACAAGGGGCGGGGCTTATCCCCACCACTCCGCGGGCCATAGTTTGAGGATGCCTGCTTTAGAAAATATGCTCAAGCTATAGAAGGATCTTGAGAGACTTGAACACTGCCCCCTATCTAACAAAATAAAATTAAATGGTGAAAAAAGTAAGGTTCTACATTTAGGCAAAAAAATTCCCCCAAATCAGGGATGAAATCCAGCAAGTTCTGACAGGTACTGGAAAACCAGTAGCGGAAATTTTGAGTAGTTTAGAGAACTGGCAAATACCACCTCTGGATGGCCCTGAGTGGAATGGGAATGGAGATTTTGCAGTATCCTTCCCCTGCCATACCCACCAAGCCATGCCAACCAAGCCACACCACGCTCACAGAACCGGTAGTAAAAAAATGGGGATTTCACCACTGCTGTGGATGCGTTTCTGCTTGTTAGCCCTGTGGAGGACTCATGCTTGTCTGTACCTTCTCTTTCTCTCTTTGAATTTCTATACCGCCCTACTTCCGAAGGACTCAGGGCGGTGCACAGCCATGAAATAAAACACATAGATATACAAAATTTAAAATCGAATAAAATGAATTAAATAAATTTGGCTGAATTAATACCCATAATTTAAAATACCCATATTTTAAAATACATTAAAAATTTAAAATTTACACTTAAAAGGGAGAGGATTTAGGCGAGGCCAGCTTGATGAAATAAAAGCGTCTTCAGCTCGCGGCAGAAGGTGTGCAGATCCGGAATCCTCCGTATCTCTGGGGGGGAGCTCATTCCAGATCGTCGGTGCCTCCACAGAGAAGGCTCTCCCCCTAGGGGCTGACAGCCGACATTGTTTGGCCGACGGCACCTGGAGGAGCCCCTCTCTGTGGGAGCGTACTGGTCGGTGGGAGGCTGTTGATGGTAGTAGGTGGTCCCGTAAGTAACCAGGTCCTAAGCCATGGAGCGCTTTAAAGGTGGTAACCAGAACCTTGAAGCACACCCGGAAGACCACCGGGAGCCAGTGCAGCTCGCGCAGGAGAGGTGTTACATGGGAGCTCCATGTTGCTCCCATAACCACCCGCGCGGCCGCACTCTGTGCCAGTTGGAGCCTCCGGGTGCACCTCAAGGGGGGCCCCATGTAGAGAGCATTACAATAGTCCAGACGAGAGGTGACGAGGGCATGAGTTACTGTGCGTAACGAGTCCCGATCTAGAAAGGGACGCAACTGGCGAATCAGGCGAACCTGATGA